CGCGGAAGGCCATATTTTCTATCAACAATTATCAAAAATGTTTTGGATATATTAACCATCATGAATTGTTTAAGATATTTGACTCTATGATTGCACCAATACTCTGTTACGGATCTGACATATGGGGAACAAGCTACTGTAAACTTTTTGAAACTGCGCACACCAGATTTTGCAAGTCGTTTCTTATAGTTAGTAAAACTACCAACAACAACATGGTTCTGGGAGAGTGTGGGAGAGCTCCCCTCCAGTATCAATATATCTCAAGAGCAGTCAAGTACTGGTGCAGACTGATACAGCTTCCACGAAACAGACTGCCTTATCAGGCATATCTAATGATGAAAACTCTCGATGATAATGGTAAAACAACATGGGCTTCTCATATTAGGGTTGATATTATTCCAATATGGGATTTGGTTTCTTATGGATATCTCAAGACATAGGCTTGTAAATCCCATTCATGGTAATTTTTAACAGAGATTCTATGACTGCTTCACTCCAAACTGGCATGCATCACTATTTTCGTCACCCAAATGTAAATACTATTCACAATTTAAATCAACGCTAAGCGTAGAACCATATTTTAACCAGTGAATTGCTACCAAATCAACGAAAAAAAATAATAACTCAGTTTCGGTTCTGTAACTTCAGATTTGGCAGTGGAATAATGGCCGTCATACAACATCTCCCGTATAATGAACGTCTCTGCCTCTTTTGTCGTACTGCTGGCCTTGATTACATTGAAGATGAATTCACATTTTATTAATATGTCCAAAAATATTCCCCAACAAAGATCTGATTGTTTTCAGTATATCTGACTCAACCACCGACACTTGAAACCTTCATCCGATTGTTGTCATCAGACAATATACATATTTTAAAATCACTGAGCAAATATATTTTTACAAGTTCGCCGTAGAAAGGAATGATTATCTGTAAAACAAATCAATACTAAACTTTACTCTAGCTTTACTCAGTATGTATTTTACTTTTTGCCAAATGTATGTATTATGGGCCTTGGGCCTAAATTACCGAATAAAGCTGTCTGTCTGTCTGTCTGAGAGAAGATAGCTTGAGATTTTACTAGTAACTTTCAGTATGTGGGGTTGAACAGTGTCAGTGTCACACATTTAGTTCCTTTCATGGACACGAGTAAAGTGTCACTTACTAACACAACTCACTCAACCCACTCACCAACTCACTCAACTCCACGCACTCACTCACACCACTCACCCACATATTGGTACTGGTTTGGTGATGTTAAAGAGCCTACCAAAATAACTCATTCTGATGATTCTGTTAGGGGAAGGAAAGATGACAGAGTTGTTCCTCCTTGGCAACTCCGTTTCCACTCTTAAAACGTACCATTTGCGTGAACCTTTTTCTTTACATGCTATATGTCTTGACTATACTTGAGAATGCGAATACAACTGTCACATACGTTGAAAATGATGATTCAGATATTAGAGACATGTCCACCATTATTATTCAGAAAATGTGAACAATGTGCTCTTGGTTTTGCAATTTGTCTATGTTCACTGACCAGCCGACCAAACAACTAACTGGCTACCGGAAGAGTGGAGTGTGTGTTTGCTTTACCCAGCAATATCACGATGAGGGACACCAGAAACGGGCCCCACACATATGGGGATCGAACCCGTGTCTTCAACATGACATGCGGACGCTTTAATCCAGTAAGGTTACCCCAATGACCCGGCTACTGGGAGAAGCAGGGACCTGAATATGTATACATAGTAGGAACCAAAGTTGATCTATTTTCACTCAGATATTTTAAGTAAGTCTGCCAACACCTTCTGATTTGATTTGACTGTTGTTAACCCAGTAACATGACATAACCTGGGTCTGTGTTCAGACCTTACTTCATGTAACAACACATAAAGATGTTCCATGTTTCTACTGTTGAATGAAATAGGGGCATTTATATTAACTATGACCTATATATGATATGCTGTGGTCATCGTCATTGTCTGTGAGAAGAACTATTTAACCAGACTTGTGATTTGGTATACTTCTGCTGTGAATATACATAGTACAACGTTCAGATACCCGTTATATTCTGGAATTATCATTAGATTGTTGCTCTCTGGCTGGGTATGTATATGTCAGGTCAGGTATCCAGGTGTCAGGCTGGGTATGCAGGTGTAAGGAAGTCCATTAGCTTTAAGCAGACATGCCCATCTTCTCACTATCTTTGATATTCAGCTGTGCTGTTTGTATGGAAACTGAAGTATTACTGACATCACTGGAGTATGTGACCGCTACAATACTACATCGAAGTTCCTTATTATAGTGTGGAATCGTAAGACATCCGGTTTTACTTCAGTATGGTGTAGTGTACTATGGTAGTAGATGTAACCTACACTAACATTACAGATGTCTTTAACTGCCATTTAGATGTAACACTACGTCAGACTTCTGAAAGAGTGTTCCGACTCTTTATTAGCGTTTCTTTTCCGCTGCTTTCGGGTATCTGGGTGTCAGGCTGGGTATGTAGGTGTCAGAAGACCATTACAGGTGTTCCCGTCCGATGACATTGCTGGAATTTTGAGGAAAGTGGCGTAAAAGTAAACTTCCACCCACCCACTAGAAATCACACCATTGAGATACACGTTTTGCTCTGGAAGTTATTATCTACCTTGAAACGTTGTGCTTTGGACACCATGTGCATGGGTCAGGTATGCGGGTGCATGACTGGATCAGGTTCAATTTGATGGTATCTTCTAGGATGCTAGCATGTAGGTTCTGTATGTTGGTATCAGCCGGATATGTAGGCATGAGGTAAGGCGTAGGTATCAGTGTAGGTATGTAGGTATCCGTGTGTAGGTATGTAGGTATCAGTGTAGGTATGTAGGTATCAGTATGTGTATGTAGGTACCGCATGTGTATGTAGGTATAGTTGGGGAATGTATTTCTAGTGTCCGCTTCAAATTTGCAATGTCCGGTTCAGGTTGGGTATGTAGGTATAATGTTAGGTGTGTCACAATTTACCGGCTATGTAGACACGTAACTTGATTTGCGGGTTTTATACTCAAGTATGAGAGGCAGATGCGCACGGGTCTGTACTCATGTCAATGATCGTTTGAAGTTAAGTAAAATCGATTATGGATTAAACCTTTATTGATGAGACCGCCGGCAGTGCAGTGTTCCAGAGAGGGCTTCTGTGTCCTAACACTGAAGCATTTGTACCATGGGATTTCTTATGCGGGTAATGCTTATAGAAGCATTTGTGAATGAACATGGCGTGGACATTTTATACCCTCGACGGGGGTAATAATGTCAGCGCTTTGAGCTACGCTATAATCTATCGATTCTCAATATAAGTTGACACATTAGTACTCCTTTTTAGCATACAACATTTTGCATTTACAAACATTCAACAATTTTCGACGTTACAGCATTCGACAAATTGAATAAAAAAGAGATGTGTTTCACCTGCACACATATTTTAGATACCTAACTTTCTTCATTGAAGTTTCTTTAAACAATTGAAATCCTGTAGTGGTGCAAAGCCCTCCCTTTATGCAGCTTAGCACCCAATATAACTCTTTACAGACCATACATATTATGGTATTTCTCCGTTTGGAATTGAAATTCTCTCAATATAAAGGAAAGACGCTACCCTCATGAAAGTGGTAAAATGTGTGCCACCTGTTTCCTGAGGTAGGGCGGTATTTACTCGATTTGCACTAGTTCGCCCTCATATCTCAACAAACACCCTCACTAACAGACATAACACACTCCCATGACTAACACATGTTTATATTTGACTTAGTGGATGCTATAATACATAAAGCTATCAATGGACACACGTATTGCTTTTTATGTTAAATTCAAAAACAGATTTAACTGATTTAATCTGATAGGTTAGGAACCCTTTAACTATTTTAAGTCGTATTTGAATAGATCAGAGTTCCATCCCTGCTCCAAAAATAGCAAATGGGTGGTTTCAGAATGAATGGCCCTGACAAAGTCATCTGGACACCAACTAGGCCCCTATACTTTATGCTCGTTACTTGAAGTCACTACATCGAGGAAGCAACTTCGACCACTGTGAATAGACTGCATGCGGATACCTCAAAGAGAGGTGGGACTGGACGATCCTAAAGCACAAACTATGTGTGGCTTTACACCTTTTCAACCCGCGCGTTTGTTCCGTTGAAGCCCTGGTCTGTTTTAATTGATAACCCACCGAGACACACAAGGCTAATTGCTCAAAATGTTGTAGTATGTATGCCACAACGCATAGCATCAGAGGCATCATGTCTCGTGTTGTACTTCCGCACCAAGTGTGTATGTTCGTGCGTGTGTGTGTAGGTGTGTATGCGTGCGTGTTCTCAAAAAAATAGATGATACAACTCATGGATAGAGCAGACGGAATAGCAGATGTAACGGTATCAACATGACACATAAAGCCATCAGTGACAATAGTATTACTATTTTACTGCATTCAATGTAGGTTTAACTATAGCAATGCGAAAGAATCGGGTTCCTTGAACTTTTCATGATTAGTGTATAGTATGGTATGGAAATAATCAGACTGCATACTAACTACCAGCTCGTCGATTGTAGAACGTAGGTGGATACCCTGTATCGAGACTAGACTAAAGGAAATCGACTCACCCAGAAAGTTAGGCTCGTCATATTGATAAATAGTATATACCGTCTCACCTTTTTCAACTGTCAGGTCTGTTTAAATTGATATCCCTTCGAGCTGGGTTAATTGCTAAACCTACCATAGTCAAAATGCCAATAGGCGTGATATCAAATGTATCATAATTAATATGTATGTTTGGGAGTAGTGACATGTACTTCACTCACACTTTATCCCGATTGTCCAGACTTCACCACGTCTCTGTTTAGAGACTATTGTTGTCCACCTTAACTACAGCATCTGCTGACGGACGAATACAGTCGTCCTGCTATCTGTGTCTGCAGACAAGTTACAGACAACTCATTCCTTCACTGACGGATGCGGTACTCACCAAGTATTCTTCTAATGCCTCCTTAGTAATCCTTCCTGTATACATCACACGGGACTGAAACACAGCAAGCACATCCTTGAATATCGACACGATGATCTTGTGCAGCAGTACTTACGAATCATTTCGGAACATGCTAATAAACCGAATATATTGATGTTTCATGTCAGCACATGATAATTAATCACATGTTTCAATGTTGAACTTCATTGGTGTTTAGTATAAGTGATAATGTGTGTGGAACTGAGCAAGAGGGATGTGATGTTATCCATCAACCAAGTCATTTAGATTCTCCTTTGAAGGAGATAGTTTTTTTTATATCTCTTTTTGTTTCATCTGCAGTTAATTTCCACCGCAATATATTGTCACACAAAACACAAACATATTCATTGATTACATGAATTCATTTATCATAGTGTGTTTTATGGAAAAATTCCCCAACGACAGGTATTGTAACAAGTTCTCAATGCTCATACCTGTGTAGTACTCCCGTCCTCCATGTTATTCCCTCGAACAGTTCACCTGCCTGGACTCATGATGGACTCAATTCCGAAGGAAGATGAACAATGTGAGAATACATATTGGTATCATAACACACTTGGTAGGGTAGTGATCGAGACGTAAGCTGGTTGGCCATTTTAGGACAGGTAATAATTACACGCAACTGACAATGCCGTAAATGTCACACGTCAACATACACTGTTCACTCAGGGTTACCATGAAAACAGAATATCTTCTAAAAATGTCATTCTAATCTATTCAATACTTGCTGAGGCAGTAATTTGTCTGCTCTTCTTTAGATATTGCTCTTCTTAATTATATGCTCAGTTTACGCAATGTCACATAATCTGTACAGAAACATATTTCACCATTACAAACATGGACATTTCCAACAACATGGTGTAATGAGAGAAGAAGCTTTCAGTATTAAGATAGTGGTTAGTCTCGTATGACGGGGTGTCAGTATTAAGATAGTGGTTAGACTTATGTGACGGGGCATCAGTATTAAGAAAGTGGCTAGTCTCATGTGGCGGGGTATCACTATTAAGAAAGCTATAGTCTTATGTGACGGGTATCAGTATTAAGAAAGTGGCTAGTCTCATGTGACATGGTATCAGTACTGAGCTAAATGTGTCTCCCCTATGTTGATGTACCACTACTGGACTGGCGTTTGCTATTTCCAGCGCCCATCCTTACATGTGATTGTCAGTATTATGGTTGGGATATGGACGATAAGCAAGTATATACTACACTGACCACATGTTTTTCAAGCTACAACACATGCCACGGGTTATTCTCCAAGCTTCCTAAGTTCTCACATTCTAATATCAGGTGTTTGTCGCGTCTGTGTTTAAATATATAATCTGAATTTGATTGGATTCGATTCACAACCAATAAGTACTCTCTCCGATGATATTGATATTTAAACAACATTTATATACCAGCATCTTACATCATATTACATCTCGCTTGTGCTGGAACTGAACTGAACTTTTTACACCCCGGCCGCGTTCTGCAGCATTAGAGGTTCACGTTTACATCATATCTATATTGCAACTACTTTATGATACATTAATGTATGATACACCAAATAGCAATATGTATGTCAGGGTAGAAGATTGCGATATCGTAGAATCGGATGTTCTACTAGTAGTGATTGCAATCGAGTCTCTACTAGTAGAGAATGCGATCGGAGTATCTACTGGTAGAATCTCAATCTTACCAGTGGAGATTGCATTGTGATTATATAGAATAACCTACACAATCGCAATCTCTACCAACAGAAGCTCAAATATGATCATACTAGTAGATATTGAAATTCTACACTTATGCAAGCAAGTAAATATTTAAAATATTACAGTGAGATGTGTAATCTCTTCTCTCCAACATCTCAAAGTCTGAGACTCTCAGTTAAAAGTAGGAAGTTCATTCAGATGTAATTTCTCAACTAATGATCAGTAAGCGTTAGAAAGATATAGCTTTCCACACAATCTGTTCCCCCTAAAAAAATACATTATATATATATATATGGGGGTACCCAACACACACACACACACACACACACACACTTTATATATATATTGGTCTTTGCTTGATTTCATGATACACAAGATGTAATATTTTGATACATGTTGTGAATAACCTTAAACGTTTTCCGGTTGTTGTTTGATATTAATTTATCATAGTCCCCAACGCCAGACGGTGACAAAGGCTTGTTGGAAATCAATGAAGGCACAATATAATTTCTTTGTTCTAGTTTTCAGGATTCCAAAAAAGATGATAAAAAACATTGTCCAAATCCAGCTTGTGCTTCAGATAAAATTGTAGCAGATTCCTGGAAATCTGTGAGGACTATTGTTTTAAAATAAATATAATTTCACGAAACGGCTCAAAAGTGTAATATGTGTAACATTTTCCAGCATTTTTGGATCACCTTTGTGTTTATTGACTGGCATTAATAGTCCATTTAACCAACTTTCTGGGCACCTCCCCGTGCCGTAAGTTTTGCATAAATTATATCACTGGTCGAAGAAATATACTCCTTTATGACATCACCAGGTCTAGCAGCGTTATCATTTTTCAGTTTATCTGCCTGCTTGTTCACTTGATCCTGTCTGAACGACTGGCTGTGTTGGTGATTCCTATGCACCTCACTGAAGCAAGTGCAGTTGGTTTATCTTGTTGCTATAAATAGATCCACGTTGGATCTATGACGTAACACTCATACGCGCTGGTTAATCTTCTGATACACCTGCCTATATTGTTACCTCCCTTTGTATCATACGATACTCTTCATTTGTGTTTTGCAAAATGGCATTATATCAATATCCGAAATGCGGTTTGCGTCATATAACTTAGAAAACGGCACTATAGCCAGTGAATCAAGTGTGTAGATGTGTATGATTGTGTCATTTCAGAACAGAACAATAAGGTCAGCAAAACCATAAGCTGAGATAGAGCCCAATCTTTGCATCGTGTCAGAGGTAGGGCTCTATGTTTACACATGATCACGTTGGGTCATATCTGATCTTACACCACAAGACAGAACGATGTCAGTCAATAAGATTATTGCTGCTGTGAGCCTCCTACAGTCTCCTAATATGTCAACACTAACAGATAAACAGAATCTTCACTAAATGAATTATGTTTGATGTCCGACATGAAATTAGTAATGTTGGCGCATAATTTAAAAAGCAGTGTAAGTTTATCGATTGTCTCATCTCAAACTGTGCATACGTTATGTTTTGTTGTCATGTTAATATTTTTCAATATTGGGAATACATGCCTATTTCTACCGAATATCGTGTTTGAACCAGAAGCACTTGAAAGTTACGACAGTTCACAATTGACATTGATCAGGTTCTAGTGCGGTAGATTAATCCTGCCGCTTGCGAGACGTCACGTGACTAGCATTCAACTCGGTATGCTTGCACTGCATTTCACTGCATGTGACACACATCTTGCCAGGGAGATTAACCACCACACGCAATGTCTCACTGTCATTGTCAGACATACGTAATACAAACACGTTATAAGTTTGGTCACATTGTGATCCCTGAATAAGTCGCTACTTTGGAATATTCGTGATAACGCTAAACAGTCTTAAACGCAAGAAGCACACACAATAGTTTAGAGTAATGCTATTATGTGTCTACCTACCTAGAGTTGCCCAGAATAACATACAAAACACACAGGTATATCCTTGTATGACCACAGTGTATGTCCTGTGTCTACCCAGACATGAGTCTACCTACCTAGAGTTGCCCAGAATAACACATAAAACACACAGGTATATCCTTGTATGACCACAGTGTATGTCCTGTGTCCACCCAGACATGTATCTACCTACCAAGAGTTGCCCAGAATAACACACAAAACACACAGGTATATCCTTGTATGACCACAGTGTATGTCCTGTGTCTACCCAGACATGTGTCTACCTACCTAGAGTTGCCCAGAATAACACACACAAAACACACGGGTATATCCTTGTATGACCACAGTGTATGTCCTGTGTCTACCCAGACATGTGTCTACCTACCTAGAGTTGCCCAGAATAACACACACAAAACCACACAGGTATATCCTTGTATGACCACAGTGTATGTCCTGTGTCCACCCAGACATGTGTCTACCTACCTAGAGTTGCCCAGAATAACACACAAAACACACAGGTATATCCTTGTATGACCACAGTGTATGTCCTGTGTCCTCCCAGACATGTATCTACCTACCTAGAGTTGCCCAGAATAACAAAAAACACACAGGTATGTCCTTGTATGCCCGGAGTGCACCAAGCTGTGTGTCTCCTGTTGTGAATCTGTATCTCTGTGTGGGCTGTCTATATACAACCCGGAAGTTATATCACTGATGGCTAACCTGGTGCTACAATTAAATCCACGTTGGACCAATGACCGAAGTCTCACAACTTCACTGGTTAATCTTTCACTCAGGTTTGCCTATGAGCATCAATTTATTCACGTTGAGAAATACTTCTGTGAATGTTTTTGCCATAAATATTTCACTGTTTTCATTGTTATTTAACGGAATTTATCATTTAAAGGAATTTATCATCGTGGAAGCTTCCTGTAACAATGTTTCAGCAATACTAGGAAGAAAGACACCTGGGGCGAGCTCAATAATTCTAAACATGAGGGAATGGAACATGCGTCCAGTCACAGGGTTGCACATTTACAATGAACAACATTGTCAGTACATTTGAGGTCGAAGTGTGTGACTTGCCTGGATATTCCATCAAGGAAGCTTTATCTTACTGCTATAAATACATCCACGTTGGTACAACGTTCGTCTCATAACCGTTGTGAATAGATATGCTCATGGCAATTCCTGCTTCCACGCTGGACCGTTATATGAACAATGTTCTACGCATTCATACTGAGTCATAGCAGTGATAGTTTCAAACCGATGTCTTAGTTACAGGCAAATTTATGTATTTGGCACAAAGTGTTAAAATGCTATGCTTGGAATTAAGGAAACAGGACAAAGATTTGCTCGCCTCGGATCACACTGCAGCATAGTATATAATTCAGTTGACTATCTCAGTACAAAGGGTCACACAAGCTCACATGTACACGCACGCTCATACATGGACACTGAGGTATGTGAGGTTGTTTGTGATGTCAAATCTCGACTCATGTTATTGACAGAGAGCAAATGCTTTATCAGGGTATATCACATTTAAACTCAGCTATTGGGTTTCGAATTCTACCTCAACAAGGGACATAACTTGTGTCTGTTCTAAAGGCTCCTGTCACTGGCTCGGCCGCAACAGGTTAATCTTGTAGGTAAATACCACAACGTCAGTGGGTTTAACCAGGATACTATAAATAGATCATGTACGTCACTGCACTGTACAGCAGATTAATCTTCAGTCGTTTTAAAATACTGCATATTACGACTATCGTATGTCTGAAAAGTACAGTTGCTATGGAAACAAACAGCATGCAGGCATAAGTACATGAATCCTGAAGTGTGTTTGTTTTCAAAATATCACGCTATCTCAACAGCACAATTATATGGGAAATGGAAATAAAGGTAGTATTAAACCAGAGACCATGACGCTGTATATATCGTATAAACACACTCACGAACAGCAACCGTCTGATGCGCTGTATATATCGTCAGATGCATTATTTTATTCCAATTGACGCCAGTGATATAGTTCAATCTTCTCTGCCTGCTTCTATAATTATTGATGTATCATATATTATTAGATTTCTTGGGGATATAGTCTCAATCTTTGAAGCCATCTTCGTTATACAAGTGATTTTTTCTCAATCATGTTGTTATTAAATATCAAGCCAAAACACTCTCAACATTTGAATTTGAACTCTTACACAGCAGAGGTCATTCTTTAGATGCAACGTTCTTTGTATCAATCAATACTACTCAGCTGGATTATGCGACTGATGGTAAGTATTAGTACACAATATTGAAGTTTAGGTTCCAATATTCAAGTTATCATCAGACGACACAATATCTGGCAAACAGATTCAGCAGATGTTACGGGTGTGGTGTTTCACGGAGGATACCGTCAGATTAACCCTTGTCAGTACAGATTCAGCAGATGTTACGGGTGTGGTGTTTCACGGAGGATACCGTCAGATTAACTCTTGTCGGTACAGATTCAGCAGATGTTACGGGTGTGGTGTTTCACGGAAGATGCCGTCAGATTAACCCTTGTCGAAGGTGGTGATATACGTGTACATATTTATACTTGTTTTATACATGATATTAAACTGAGGTTAAACCTGTTTCGTCTGATTGTCAACAGTGGGAAATCTTTGGCACTGACGTTTAATGCTAATGATAAGAATACGATGGTGCTTAAGCATCTTAAGCAAGTCACATGACAAAACTCAAAACCCTTAAATTGACATGATATATTATCTGGGGCTCACTACAGCTGATATTTGCCCATGGTTTATAAATTACTGGTGGCGTTGACAGTCTATGAAGAAACCTTATAATGATGAATAATATGAAGGAAATAGCCAGGGCTCTCTGAATGTATCACAATAAAACAACACAATAACAGAAGACAATCTGTCTACAGTTTTTGGTAACATCTGCTAGGCTTACAATGGAAGCGTTGACATGATATTTATAGAAGGATACCCTGGTACATTATGAATCATGCGCTGAAACATCAGTACATTTCCACATGTTCGTTTATTAAATATATCGTGTAACACCAGTGTCTGGTAGGGCAGATTCATCCTGACAATTCCCGTCACGACGGAACATACATAGAGGTGATGTAAGTTTGAAGCATTCGTCATCATGGTGTTATAGTCATCGCAGGAGTCAAGAATCATGTGACTAGCACGTGAAGTGACGTGTCTACACTACAGCATTGTGCATTTCAACACACACACACACACACACACACACACACACACACACACACACACACACACACACACACAAAAACAACAACAAACAAACACACACAGACACACACACAAATCAAAAACAAAAAAAACCAACCCAAAACAACAAGCAAACAAACACACACTCGCTCTCACACACACTCTCTCACACACTCTCACGCTCACTCTCTCTCACACACACTCACACACTCTCTCTCACACAGACGCACGCACACACATACACACACACTCCTATCATATCCGTCACTGAGTGTTCTATTGTCAATGAATTCAGATGTGAAACATATCAAAGTGTAATCTAAACTATAACGCATGTTACATAATTTGACCACTTTCTAAAATGTCATTGTGTAATCATATGAAGCATATCGGTTAGGTGATGCAGATTGAGATCCCTCATTAAAATTGTTTAGGTCTGGTAGTTGTTTAACACCGCACACAGCAATATTCCAGCTTTATGGCGACCGTCTGTAAATAATCCAGTTTGGACCAGACAATCCAGTGATGAACAGCGTTAGTGTCGATCTGCGTATCTGGGATACGATAACGTGTGTCAACAAAGTCAGCGAGCCTGATCACCCGATCCCGTTAGTCGCCTCTTATGACAAGCATGGGTTACTAAAGGCCAATTCTAGCAGTCACTGTTGGATTGGAAGTGCCTTAAAGGATTGTGCTATTTATTATATTTATGTTCAACCAAAGTAGAACCTCAGCAATGTGTACATTATTTCATACCAGCATTGCATATGCTGGTTAAACTTGTACTATAAATACACCCACGTAACTGGGACAACCCACAATGCTATAAATAGATAGTTTGCTTCACTGCCCTGCACAAAGGATTAATCCTCGTGTTGCGTTAGCACTGAGTTATCTCCCCTAGCGAATATCTGAATACTGAAGTTGTTATGGAAACAAATAACCACAGTCATTAACATGTGAATCCAGAAGTGCGTTTGTTGCCAAAATATTATCTGAATCCGAAGGCATTTTATGTAGCAAATAAGACGTATGTATGAACTCACACATGGACGGTACCAGTGACATGCGTGGCGGGGCTATCCTGTGGCTAGAAATAGTTCCAGGATGGTCTCCTGACCTGACGCTGATAAATACAAACTTGGTTCTTCTTCACATGCATATTTCTAATCGTCAGTTACTTTCATATCAATTATAAGTCTTCGGTGGGTTTATGTCGTTGATATCTAGAATTCTTGAGTGTGTGTGAGTAAGTTTAGTTTTACGCCGCTTTTAGCAATATTCCAGCAACATCACGGCTGGGGACAACAGAAATGGCATTCACACATTGTACCCATTGGGGAATCGAACCCCAGTCTTCGGCGTGAGGAGCGAACGCTTTAACCACTAGACTACCTCCACCGCCCAGAGAATAAGTATCTGAATTAAACCTTGCAATACATAAGTTTACTGTACCCCCCTCTGGTGAACAGATTCTATACATGTTGTGGGTCTGGTGCTTCAGCAATAACAATAATGTACTTTACAGAGAAATTGTAATCCCAAATTTAACATATGCTACATTTGACCACTTTCTAAATGGCAATGTGTATTTCACTAACAATACCGTCAGGTCAACCTTTGACGAAGGTGGTGCTGTATGTTTACACACTTACACCGTTTTACAAGAAATATCTCCCATTAAAACAGTAGTTTAGTGTGTTTCTAAGGATAGTCAACACTCTCACGTGGAAGAGTATCCTAGCTATTTTGTACACTTGTATTAAACAGTCGCATGAAAATAGTCAGGCGTTGAAGTGACACTGGCGCTTTAGAAACAGTAACCTTACACAGATGAGTGAGTGAGGGGGTTTTACGCTGCTTTTAGCAATATTCCAGCAACATCACGACGGGGGACTCCAGAAATGGGCTTCACACAATGTAAATGTACCCATGTGGGGAATCGAACCTGTGTTTTCGGCGTGACGAGTGAATTCTTTAACAACTGGGTTATCCCACCGCCCCATACACTGATGAATAATATGAAGAAAAATATAGAATTATGTTTTAATGAACTACCTTGAAACAGACCCGTAGTAGAAAGAGTTTTATGTTCTAAGAGCACGATAGAAGAGAGCAGGACTTTAAGTTCTAATAACATCTGCCAAGCTTGCTCTGGAAGTATTTACATGACACTGACAGAACTATACATTTAACGACTCCTGCTTTACATATTAGCAGTCCATGTGCTGATGTATGTCTACTGAATGTGTTATGAACATTACATAAGGTTAACAGTTGACAGCCTCCTCAATACCTTGTGAC